AGTCTTTTCTCTTCTTCTTGTTCTCCACCCCCCACCCCACCAAGTCTCTTTTCTCAGGTGCTTCTGGGAGGACTCAAACCTCCAACCCTTTGGTGAGAAACCTTAGCCTCCTCTTTCAGAGTCCCTGGTTGCGTTATAGGAGCCCTGATGGGGTAGTGGTTACGCCTTGGGATACCTGCAAGGTTAGCGGTTTGCTCCTCAGGAGAAAGAGGCAGCTTTCTACTCCAGGAAAGAGTTAACGTCCTGGAAACTGACAGGGAGGTTCTACCCTGTCCTCCGGGGCTGCTATGAGTTGGAGCAGCCTTGAGGGCAATTTGGTTTGGGGTGCTCTCTGCCCCAAGACCACTTTTCCACATCTTGTTCTGTCCTCCAAGAATGTTTTAAGCGTTAACTGATAAGCTTTGTACATTTGCTGGGTGGACTCGTATCAATTTGATCATTAGTTTGGTGTTTCCTGATTAACTAAGTAGGAAGCTAGAAAGAGAGATACAGAAACAAATCAAATGTCATTTCTGTAACAGTCATTGCCATCTGCAAGGACCTAGGAGGAAACCAGGGACCTTTAATGGAAGGTTCCATTGGACGGAGGTCAGGCCAATGTCCCTTCCTCCTAGGACTGCCCACTAAAGGAATCTACATCGGACACAAGTCTCTGAGTCCCAGCCAGGGGCTACACAAGCTGGCAGGGTAACATGGCTGTAAGGAGAACCAGTTCAGAAACAGCCCATCCGTGAAAGATGGTATAATGGGCTTCCAAGCTCACAGAGAGACACAGCTACAGACAGCAAACAGGAGGCTTGCTGGTGTGGTGGGGGTGCTTCCAGGCACTTTTCCATTGAGCTAGACTTGTCAACACACCAAGTGAGAGAGTGCTTGAGGGCCGAGGTTTACTGGCAGAACGAGTGTCTCCAAGCATTTACTGGCACAGCTAAAGAGCTTTGTAACATTTGCCTAAGCAGGAGAGAAAGGAAGCCGAGAGGCTAAGGGAGAAGCCTGCCTCTGGGGACAGCTGAGTTCTCGCTACCAGAGAACTGTATTCTGCACAATTCCTGATCCTAAATTGTAACTTTACTTTTGAGTATTGTCTGTGAATTCCGTGTGGCCATTGCAAAGCACTGTTGACCCTAGCAGAGAAGCAGAGCTCTACGGGCGGGGCGAGTGGCGTCAGCATTGGTGAAAAAGCCAGCTAGGGAACACGTATCGAGGGAACACGTATCGGATCCCTGCCCTCTTTCTCTCACAGAGTTAGAGGAGGTCAGATGTCCCTGACTCCAGTTGTCACATATCCTCCTCCTAAAAAACCCCAGCGGCCACTGACTCGCTGGCATTGCGACACATACGTCCAGAGTAGAAATCCTCCACAGGGTTTCCAAAGCTTCTGGAAATGGATCACCAGGCCTTTCTTCTGAATATAAATGAAGCACTGAACCATGTGTGCCACTTAGGGCATTCTCAAAACGTGACCACCACCCCCCACCGCCAATCCAATACACACACACACTGAGTACTGCCAGCACTTCTGAGACCACAAATCGTCACAAAAGCAGACAGCTCATCTTCTTCTTGGAGAACAGCGGTGGGTTCAAACTGCCAGCCGCTTGGTTAGCAGCCGACACCTAACCCTTTGTGCCACTAAGGCTCCTACACATGGCCCAGAGTTTGTTAACATCACTGATTTGTTAAAGGCACAGTAACGAGAGCCATGTCTGGGGTTCATGGCCAACCTATCTTTATCTTCTGGAGTTTCTGAAGCCCATAATTTGGGTTCACCCAGTCAAGAAGACATCTGGGAGCAGTCTAAAAATATACATATAGCTACATATCTATTTAGCGAGTATCACTCAATGTCCAAGAAAAATTTGAAGAGTGTAATGTCAGAGGATCATTCCACTGGCCACAAAATGAATGATCACTGAATTTTCCTGGAGTCATTTCCTAGAAATAAAAGGCACAATGGAGCGGCTTCACGGAAACAGTGAGCTCACACAGGTGAGCTCACGAGTCTTGCCCCTCTCGTTGGAAAGCTAGCAAGTTGATGACCTCAAACTTCACTCATTCCTCCAGGCTTGTCAATATTTGACAATTGAACAAGCACACGAATCCTGCAGGGAGAAAGTTGAGGATGGGCCCTGGTGACTGGGCTATTTTAAGAAATAAGAATGGCAACCAGATTGGCCTGCTCAGCTGCCCTACCAGGAGCCCCGGCCGCCAGGGCTTCTCGCTCCACTTCCTGCAATAACAGGGACATGATCTGCTATCACCTTCTCCCCAAGCCAACCGCATATTTATCCTCGGAGGTCCAGAAAGACACCGCAAATATGCACAAGCCCCCAATAGGGAAGTGTACACTTCAACTCAACATCACTTTTTGTTCTAAAGTGTAGAAAAATCGCATGGGGTAACCCCATGTATCATAACTTGTTAATCTGGTGCAAGAGTTCAGCATGATTAACAACTGGCTTTTCGGCAGCAGCGGCCTAGATAATTTGGGTCCATTTTTTGAAGGGCCGGGGGTGGGAATGGAATTCTTGTTTATTTACTCATCATGTATTTGCCAAAGGAGGGCATGTTTAAAAGGTCTTTTCCCACTAAATCACATTGGAAAATATGTGATTTTAGTTGTACGTTTCATTTTATTTCAGCCATTGGTCAAGAATGACTTGTCCCAAATAGCCAAAGCCTTTCTTTTAAACAAGAAAACAAGATGGTTCTTTGTCAGAATAAAATTTAAACCTCTCACCTACCTGAGTACTTCCTCCACGCCCCCTCCACTCCCCCACCCCCACCCCGGATCTTTAAGAAGGCAGCTGCCCTCAAGTCTGCAGATTATGCCATCCTTGGGTGTCAAAGTAAGACAGTCCTCTTTGGCACCTTCAGTGGCTGATTTGGGGAACTATGGCTAGATCTTTCTTCTTAGGAGCCTGCGGGTGGATTCTAACTCCCAACCTTTCAGTTAGTAGCATGCTTAACCGTCTGTGCTCCTACACTCAACTCACTGCCATCGAGTGGATGCTGACTCATAGCAACCTTCCAGAACAGGGGAGAACTGAGCCTGCGAGTTTCCAAGACTGTAACTCTATCCACGAGTAGAAAGCCTGGTCTTTCTCCCGTGGAGTGGCTCTGGTTTCATAATGCTGACCTGGTAGTCGCTGCCCAACTCGTAACCACAACACCACCAGGGCTCCTGTAAACAGGCATTTCTCATTGGCGTTTCCCCCGGGGAAAGTAATGGGAGAGCCTTGTGAGCAGAGGCATGTGGAGGGGGTGTTCTCCAGGGGGACGGGGGAAGCACTCTGAAGGAAAGGAAAGCTGGGGGTTGGCAACAGTGTCAGCTGTTATGTTGTGTGCTGAGGGCCTTATATTATAGTGTGGTTTATAGGCACTACAATATGAAATAGGCACCGTTGTATTAACGCCATCTTGTAGATGCAAAGGTGGGCACAGAGACACCAAGTAACTGACCAAAGGTCACACAGGGAAAGACAGAGAGGCTGGATTTGAACCAGGCAGTTTGGGGTCTGAGCGCAGCATATACGTAGCCTATGAAACCGATGAAGAAGGAATAGAAAAAGACTAGGAATGCTCACGAGGGGCAGGAGACATATCTGGCATAGTTGGAGAAAGAAAGATAACTCTTAGAGAAGCAAGATCAGCTAATTTTTAGTCCACACAGCCAAGCCTCTGGACCGTTTGAAAGTTTACACTACACCGCAGTTGAGTTTCATTTCTTTTACACTTGGCACGCCGCTCCTGTTCTGAGGCCAAAAGATACGCCGGTGGAGCATGGTTTCAAGTAGCCCATGGGGCACATCCTTTATCTCCCTCAGGGCACGGCTTCATTCTGCACAAGATGGAAATCATCCCTCCGTCGTTACTTAATACCTAGCCACAGAGCCGGCTGGGGCAGCCTCAGATATATTGCCTTTCCCAGGAACTGGGTGACAGGAAACGTCAGACACTGCACTGGCTGTTGGGACTGTCCCATTGCAGACCCAGAGGAGCCCCTTTAGTGTATTGATACTTAATAACCACCGAGGAGAGTTGGGAGAAAGCCCTACAGAGTATAAGCCAAGGACGGGGGGAAAGAGAAACCAGGACTTGACTTGGCTTCCACAAAACTAGAAATCCTTATAGATACCCAAATGGCCACATGTTACAATAAACATAGTGACTCCCAGGATGACAATGTTCTAGTGGCTGTTTGGCAGGTGAGGAGATGGGAGATCTTTGTGAACATCCAGGACACTCCAGAGGTGTCCATCCATCATCCAGGTCTGACGAAGAATGTGTTGGGAAGGATAAGCCAGGCGTCACACAGTCAACTGCAAGTGCTAACTAGCACAAATGACCACTGGCCTCTGGGGAGCCCCAATGGGTCAGCCAAGTCGAGGTGTTCCTTCCTCATGCAAGTGCCTCTCCCAATTAAAGACAGACAAAAACACCCCAAACCAAACATCTGTCCCATCCCCTAAAAAAGGCCATACTACGCCAGGGAATTCAGTGTATTTATACGTCCATTTCCTAGACACCGGTTCCCACTCCCTCACTCACACACAGTCATTCAGCAAATATTTACAGAGCAGCCACCATCACACGTTTGCCACGAAGAGGCGAACAGATGGGAGTCAGAGAGCCTGGCCCGTCAGGGCTGGGAGGAAGGAGAGGTAGAGGGGGATAAGGATGTAGAACATAGAAGATGTGTTTGGGATTCTAAATGCCTTGAAGTGGCATTATCCAGGTGCTCTGGAACTAAGCGAGGGAAGAGAGCAAATCCCTTGGAGGTAAAACGGGCTCAGGAAGGCTTCTGAAAGGGGTTCAGCCCATCTTGGAGTGGGGGAGACAGGGCTTGGAAGATAGCCTTTCAGGAGGTAGGTGAGAAGAAGGGCATCGGCTCTAGTCATGCAAAGCAGCCCCCTGATATTGGGGCAGCCGGAGAGGCCCAGCAGAAGGGCCTGAGCTCAGTTAGGCAGAGTGGGTCCCGCGAGACTTCGGCCAGGCACCTTGCAATCACAGCCGATGGGCTGCTTGCACTCCTCGCAGTTGTTGGCGTAGAGGGTCTCAAAGCAGTCCACGCAGTACGGGTTCTCCTCCTTCCAGATATACTTCCTGCCAAAGAGGGTTTCACTGCAGTGGTGGCAGTCAAAGCGCTCAGTCATCTTAACACTGGCTTTTCAACAACCTATCAGAGACAAGAAGAAAGACAACCCGGTTAGCACACAGCGGTGGCAAAGGCACGAACTGTCTGGCCACCTGTGAGTCTGCGAGTTATCGCCCTTACCCAGGGGCCTGCTCTTGCCACCGGCTGAATACTTTTAAACTCAACCTTCACAAAGCCACCCCTTTTAGGGTCTGGGTCCTTGTATTCACCGGGGGCAGTTCTGGGTTTTAACGCGTGCCACCTCTTTTCCGAGCTTCAGTGCTGGGTGACCTGTGTCAACTACAGCTGTCTCCACTGTGGACAGCAGAACGCATTTCACCTGGAGAGCAGTTATCCTGTTAGGCTTGGTTTGTGTTTGGGGAGGGTGACAGGGCCTTTCTTGCCTTTCTCCAGGCCCCCAAAATAGAAAGGCAGAGACGAGGAACCTTATGCTCGCCTCGGCCCCAGGGAGAGTATCTGAGAGTAAGTACTCTGTTCTCCTTTGACCTTGAGACGACACTAGGAAGTGCAGCCTGCCCCTGCACAGGAGAAACCGCCTAGGTCTCCCAGATGAGAAAACCATTCTCCAGCTGCCCAGGTAGCAAGGGAACTGGATGCAGGGAAGGGCTTGGTTCCCAAGACCACGGATGAGCACTCAGTCAAAATGAAGGAAGCCCAATCCCTGGCGTCTCCAAGCAACACCTCGTGCTGTCCGAAGAGGAAGGAGCATGCGTGTCTGAGTCACTGCGGATCCCTGTCCTGCTGCATTTTCCCAGGATGAGTGTAACAGCACCTGTGAGCAGAGAGCTACAGGAGAGGGGGAGAGGGGAGAAAATGAGGGTCCTCTCCCCCATCCCCAACCTTCTTCACCCTCCGGGACCATTTCTATATAAAAAAGGGAGAATTATTCCAGAGAGGAAGTTGACTATGGGGGATGCCGACTGTGAAGAAATGCCTTCAGGACATTAAAAACTGATTTCTGAGATGGCGCTGTTCAATTAACTGAAAAGTGGGACGTTTCATATGTGGTATACGATGTAAGCGGATTTGCTACGGAGATGAGCAATGTTTCACAAGCTCTCATTAAACTTGGCTCAATTTTCAGTCATCTCTGATGAGGCTTCCTACTCTGGTAAAGATGTGTAGGAGTCCCACAAAGCTACAGGGGTGGTTCCACTCTGTCCCACAGGGACACCGTGAGTCACAGGTGACTCCATAGCATGAATGAAGGACCGTTACGTGGTGCCTTAACGGGTTAAGAGTTGGGTTGTGCGCCTCCAGGTCATCAGTTTGAAGCACCAGCAACTCTGCAAGAGAAAGATGAGTCAATTCCCCTAAGGATTTATAGCCTCAGGAACCCAGAGAGGCGGCTCTATGGGACCCTACTGGGTCACTGGAATCGAGTTGATGGTTTGGAGAAGAACATGTAAGGTTGGTGACCTAGCCATTTTAGGTGTTGAACTGTGAACCACAAGGCTGGAAGTTCAATCCCACCAGCCTTTCCAAGGGAGAATGATACCGCTGGCTGCTCTGAAGATTTACAGTCTTGGAAATCCTCTTTAGGATTGTTATAAGTCAGAATCATTCGGATGACAGTGGGCAACCTAAAGGTTGGTGGTTCAAATCCATCCAGTGGCCCCACAGAAGAAAAGCCTGGCTTTCTCCTATGAAGATTATGGCCACGAAATCCTCTGGTGCAGCTTGACTCTCCAGCACATGCAGTTGCCATGAGCCAGTACGGACTCAACAGCAACAGACATGGTTCTTCTTGTTTTGTTTTGAAGGCCACCGGCATGGTACCATGCAATACAAATAAAATACTGCTGTGTGAGTTATAAATCTATTGCTATCACGTCGATGCAAACTCACATCAATCCTACAGGGCAGAACAGAAATGCCTCCATCGGGTTTCCAAGGCTGTGAATCTTTAAAGACGCTAGCTACCATTTCAGCTTTCTCCCAGCAACAGGTTGGCTCAAACCCACAACCTTCTGCTTAACTACTGTACCACAGGTCTATTTCAGCACATTGGATAAACCAAAAATCGAAACTCTTTGCCATCGAGTTCATTCCAACTCAGAGTAGAAAGCCTTGCCTTCCTCCTGAGGAGTGGCTGGTGGTTTCAAACCGCTGACCTTGTGGTTAGCAGCCCAATGCTTAGTGTTCATTAATTCTGTACTTTTGAGTACAAGGTCCTGACAGTTACAAGCAATGAAAGGAACATCTCTCTTTCAAGCATGCATGCTGTATTATTTCTGTGTTTATAGCACAAGTTTCTTCCAAGAATATTAAATGTGCAGCTGGACACATGGGGCCCAATCTATCTTCTTAAATTGCTCTTCCCAGAGTCAAAGAAAACATTATCTGGACATTCTTGTGATACTATCACAAGATAAGTGTCTGGTAGAATTTGGATGATTACTCTGAAACCCAACATATAAATATCCTTTGTTGCAGCAGCTATCCTGGCAGAAGATTTAATATTTTCCTATAATCCCTTAGTTACTGGCCTTGAAAACCGTTGCTGTTTATTTTATCACAATTGACAGTTGTCCTTCCAACATATATATTTTTTCCAGCAAAGGCTGCCATTTGGCTGTGGAAGCTGGAGGGCTTAATGCCTATTCTGCTGACACAAATATGAGTAAGGATTTGAGAAGTTGAAATGAGAATGAAAGAAGATAGACAATAAATCTTAGAATTCAAAAAACTGGAAATAGGTCCCTGGGATTATGTAGGACAACCACCTCATTTTATGGGTGGAAAAAAATGAAGGTATATCAAATAACAAAAGAGAACTCACATGCACGTTTCCACATAGCCCTCTAACTTACATAAAATGAACTGGCCTCGTGGTTTCATATTGGGCTGTGAGCCACAAGGCCTGCAGTTCAAAACTACCAGCCGATCTACCAGAGAATGATGAGGCTTTCTATGAAGAATTGTAGTCTCTAAAACCCAGAGGGGAAATTCTACCCTGTCCTATAATTTGAAACCGCTTAGCCATTCTGCAGGACAAAGACCAGGCTTTCTACTCCCTTAGTTAGTCTTGGAAACCCACAAGGCAGTTCCACCCTGTCCTCTAGGGTCAGCTATGAGTCAGCATCGACTTGAGGGCAGTGAGTGGGTGACAACTTTAAATTAGAAAACAGGGTGTTCCAAGGAGTTCAGATAAGCACCACACCTGTTAAGGAAGGGAAGAGACTACAGACTGTGGCAATTATCTCTGGGTGGATCTGAACAGCACACCGTTTGGTCTCTAGCCCTTTAGACCACCCAGGGGCTACAGAAAGGGTGGAGACTGTGCTCTGCTCAGGGGTTGAACTGTGAGGAGATACCTCTCTCAGTGGTACAGATGCCATTTCTTTTTTTTTCCCCCCTAATCATTTTATCAGGGGCTCATACAACTCTTATCACAACCCATACATACATCAATTGTGTAAAGCGCATTTGTACATTCATTGCCCTCATCATTCTCAAAACATTTCCTCTCCACTTAAGCCCCCGGCATTAGGTCTTCATTTTTCCCCTTCCTCCCCGCCATTTCTAGAATGGAGTCTTACCATCATGGGCCTCTCTCCCCCTAGGATCTTTGTTTTCTCGAAGAAGGCATCACCGTTTTAATGAGCAGCAGATTTCTGCTGACATCACCAGATATGGTGCGTACCCAGCACCAAGCAGAAGCACAGCAGGATGTACTTTATCTGAGAAGGCCCGCTTACGTAAGATTTCCAAAAATCCCTTTGCGCACAAGCCTTTAAATCTCAGACTAAGTACAGCATGTGCTAATGCAAACTAACCAGAACCAATGCCACTGAGTCAATTCTGTCTCATAGTGAAGTCTCCCAGGCCGTCAATCTTTATGGGAGCGGAGAACCTCATCTTTCTCCCCCTGGATGTCTGCACGGTTTGAACCACCAACCTTTTAGGTAACTCCCTTTTATCACAAAGTTGAAAACACTAACCTGTACAGAGTACCTTTATTTAATTTCACAAACACATAATTTATGTATCCAATCGCAAGCCTCTTCATGATTGGAAAATCATATTTACAGGCATACGTCCTAACTCCCCTGTAATTTTGCAGTTTTAAGTATAAAATCCTTGATTATTCAGTCATCCAAGAAACATCGCCTGAGCCAGAACTATGGCCCAAGTGTAATATAAAAAGGTTGGAGGTAAAAAAATGAATCCAATAGGGGCCATTCCCTCAAAGAACTTCTAGTCGAGTGGGGAAGACAGATCTTTATGAAACAGAGTTTGGAGCAGTATGTTAAGGGTAAAAACAAAAACAAACAGACAAACTCAAACCCCGACCCATAGGCATAGGCTTGTGTTAGACTTGTTGCGTTCAATAAAGGACCTGCGCTAGAGTAAGTGTTAGCCAGTGGGGCTTCAGGCCAAAGGGGAAAGGTGAGCCAAAGTGGAACAAAACAAACCACTAGGGCAAGTGGGGCACCCTGAAGAGGAGAGTCACTCAAGCACCCAGTAGGCCGAAGTGGCACAAACCCAAATCCAAACCCACAGCCACTGAGTGGACTCCAACTCACAGTGACCCAATAGGACAGAGTCGATCAGGCCATGGGGCTTGTGAGGCTGTACACTTTTATGGACATACATTTCCAGCCCTTTCTCTCAACAGAGAGGCTTGTGGGGTCCAACTGCCAGCCTTTGAGTTGGCAGCCCAGTGCTGTCACCACTGGGTCACCAGGGATCCTTCAGGGGTGGCACAAGTCAAAAGGACAGTCAGAGACCACGGCAAGGAAAGCCTCGCATCCCTGCTTAGCCATCCATTCGAGCATCTCCTGTAAGCACCAGGCAGCCACCTGTTTCCAGCACAGGTTATCTTACGCAGCCTGCACAGTCATCGCAGAAAGAGGATCAAATGAAACAAAACATAACCAAATCCACTGCCGAATTCTGACTCAGAGGGACCAGGTGGTGTGAGGGGTTTTGCGTAAGGTTGCTAGTGAGAATCCACCCAGGGCGCCACAGAAGAAAGGCCTGGCAACCAATTTCCCTTCTAGTACCAAAGGAAGGGA